ATATTTCAGTTGTTTGATTGATAAGCTACTGTAAGGAAACTGAGTTACTATGGGGAATATGTATTATAGTTCAACGACACGAGTTTCCGTTTGTTGCTTAATTGCGCCACCGCGATCCTCTTGTTTTGGGTGCCTGTTAAAACTGTGGCCGATGGAGGGTCCTTCTGCCTCTCCTGTGCCGGAGTCCCCGGGCTTTTAAATTGGCAGCCACAAGGAAGGCTGGGGTCCAAGCAGGTGGAAGACTGCGTTCAGAAGCACCACTGGGTACCCACCCTTTAAAAATGCAAAGCAAAACCTGCTGCTTGTATATGCCACCCCATAGCACTTAAAAACAAACAAATTTATCGGGCCACCAGAATATGAAAATCAAGAGGGTCCGGGAAGCCAGCCTTTAAGTCCTGATCCGATCTGGCCATATGTTATAGCGAAATGGAATCATCTCGGGCTTTATGTAAGCCGCCCCGAGTAGACGTTGTGAGGGGCGGTGTAAAAATAAAATAAATAAATAAATAAATAAATAAAATTTAGACTTTGCCCAAGCGGCAGGGGAGCTAGCGCCCCTGCCGCTTGGAGCTGGTACTGCCGTGAAGCAAGGGCTGGGCAGAGGACGGCTGGGTCTAACCCTGGCCCCCATTTCCGCAGGGTGCACCTACGAGGGCCGGGAGCGCCCCGACGGCAGCCGCTGGCTCTCCTCCTCTACCCCCTGTATGGCCTGCATGTGTGCGGATGGCGTAGCCACCTGCGCTGAGATTGTCTGCATCAGCTCCTGCATCAACCAGATCGAAGTTCCCGGGGAGTGCTGCCCCCTGTGTGCAGGTAAAGCGGTTGTGGGTCGGAGCCATGGTGTCGTGGAACCAGGGCTACGTGGCGTTTTCCAAGTACAGTAGTCTCACCCACCACCTGCCTCTGGCTTCCCCCTGGCCCCTCTTCATTTAGCATCCCTCTGCGTTCTATCTGACTGCAGTTATTTCTCTTGTAATGCAAAATATTTGGGGGTAGTCTGGGCTTGAATAAACCATTAAGCACCATTAGCATTACAACAGTTCAGGGGTTGAGGTCTCTGGCTGGGGAGCCAGAGGTTGGGAGTTCGATTCCCACCCAGCCACCCCACACACACACACCCCGGCCTCCTTAACTAGGGCTGGACTGGATGATCCAGAGGGTCCCTTCCAGTTTTAAGAGGATGATAATCTCATTTTTAAAATCTTTCCATCAATAGGTGGAGCAGGTTTTGGTTCTGAAAACCAGCAAAACCTGTTTGACCAGAAGCGAAACTGGCATAAATCCCACATAATCTGGACTTTTCCATCTCGCTGTCCTACCGTTCCAACGAGAGTTACTTCCATGTATCCCAACCGGGTGCTTTCCCATCCCACTCACTGTTTTAGATAGGAGAGCTAGGAACCATCCAGAACAGCCTCCAGTCATTTGAGGCTGGGGTGTGTGTGCAGTATGGCTTCAAGAACCCCCCCCCCCAAAAAAAACCAGTTTGCTCATGCTAGCAGGGGGATGCTGGAGATTGTATTCCAAAAAATCATGTTTCTCATCTGCTATCTCTCTGTGCTCTTTCCTCCCGATCATTGTGTGGCTGCGGAGAACCTTTCTTGGTCTCGAAGGGCCTCGGATTCTTTCTCTCCTCCCCTTTCTTCCAGACTGCTCGTACGAGGGTCGTGTGTATGGACCAGGCGAGAGTTTCCAACCCGGGCAGGACCCCTGCGAAATCTGCACCTGCGAGGTGAGCACTTCTCAGGTGGTTCTCAAAAAAGCGGTTAGGGCAGGGGTACCTTGAGGTCATCTTGCCCAGTCCTCCCACCCTGGGAAATCCTTTTCCCGCCAGCACGCCCTGCTCTTGCGGTTTCCTGTGAGCCAGGAAGGAGAAAGCCTGTCCCAAACAACTGCTTTGATGCCAACTGGCCCGTGGAGAGACACACGATCGCAGCCCTCCAAACGGAGCTGCAGTCACTTCTTCGGCCACTAGGGGACGGTAGAAGCCAAGAGGGCAGCTGCGCTGGGCCGTCGGAGCAAAAAGAGGGGAACCCAAGCCCCCAGGCAGGGCATCCACTTACCAGACCCAGGCTGGCTTTCCCCCAAGAGAGCGGCGTCAGGGGGCAGGGGCAGGGGGGGGGGCTGCAGACTTGTGGCGCTCTCTGCTCTTTGCCATTCTGAAGAGCTGGGGCTGGTCTTGGCAGCTCTCTCAAACTGGCCCCTGGAAAGAGCAGGGACCACGGCTGCCTCGGGCTGTACCTTTACCTGGGATGGTGCGACACCAACCCCCACCGCCTGCCCGGCTCCCGTGCAGCTGCTGGGTGG